TTCAACGAGAAGGAGGTGATGGGCAGCGTTGTGTCCGTTGTTCCTGCCAAGACGACTCCGAAGCCTGACCCGCACGAGAACTCTTCTGTTGTGTTCGTCTCGCCCATCTTCCGCGCATCCACGACGAAGCAGCAGATTCGTGAACTCTTCGCCGGCCTGAAGGTGCTGCGCCTGCGCACGTACCGCAACAACTATGCATACGTCTATCTGGACTCGCCCGCCGCCGCACAAAAGGTGGTGAAGGAGAAGAACGGTGCCGAGTTCCGTGGTAAACAGCTTCGCGTTGCCCTGTCGACCCGCTCCCTTGCCAAGGAGAAGGCTCGCGCGGAGCGTGCGAAGCTTCTCATGGACGCCCACAAATTCAACAAGAAGCAGAACCACAAGAAGTAATGCTAATACTTGCAGTGTACAACCTTATTTATTTTTGGATTCATCAATGTTTTAATTTTTTTTTGTTTTTATTTGCTTTACGCATGCAAACTTTTTTTGTTACCCTTCCTGTGATAGCCTTTTTTTTTTTGCTGACGACTTGCATATTTTTTGGTAAGGTCTTTTTTTTTTTTTCATTTTTATTGAAGGATTTCTGACGTTTGTCAATAGTTGTAGGAAAGTTATGGATGTGGTGGCGACGCCGTTCTGGTCTTCTTCTCCTTGTGGCTCTCCGATGCCGGTGACTGTGGGCAGCGCGAATCCCTTGTTTCAGTTGGGGAGGCTCTACTACCGAACCGCTGCGAAGGCATACAACATGACACGGTATGTTGTGGAAAGTCTAAAGCTGGATGAAACTGTCCTTGCGACTGCCATGTCGTACTGGCACACATTTGTAAGTCGTTTTGAGTTGCGACGGTTTGACGAAATAGTACTGAGCGCCTCTTGCGTGTTTCTGGCGTGTAAGGTGGAGCATTACAAGGTGCGCCTAAATCGGGTAATTTCGCTCGTCTTTGAAGTCAATGGGGAGGGTGATGAGATGGAGGGGTGGCGGAGGATGTTACTGGAGATGGAGTTGCTTTTGTGTCATACGTTAAACTTTAATTTTCAAATGGTCCATCCAATGAAGCGTATCATTGAGCTGGTGCCTGAAAAACATGCGGGAATGTTGGAATGCGCTCATCGCCTCTTTTTGCTTTCGTTTATGACCCCGTTGTGCGCTAAGGTGCCGGCCGATGAGGTGGCGGAAGCTTTGGTGTACCTCGTCGCAGATGGCTCTGGTCAATTGGAAGCATACGCCGGCAAGTTTAGATATGACTCAGTGGAACGACGCGAGGGCATTATCAACGTAATAATTGATGCCCTGGCTGTGATGCGAAAAAATACGGGATTACTAAAGGTGGATGACATGATTGTGGCGCGGCGGAAACGAATGCGTGAACAAGAATCTTCCCGCCCCTCAGTTGCGCACTCCAGCGGCGGAGCGGAGAGCTTGGACGTCACTCCCTCTTTTTTGTGCGAATGACGCGCATAGGTGGTCCTTCTAACAAGGTCATGTTGTGGCACCGCGTAATGCAGACGTGCATCTCTTTGTATTTTTGGTGTTATTGAAAACTGTCGTTTTTTTTTTTTTATTGTTGCCCCTTCCCCTTTAATTTCTTTATTTTATATATGTTTGTCTCTGTCTGCCTGTCTCCTTCTTCTTTTTTCTTTTTGTTGCATCAACGTTGGCGACCTCTAGTCGTAATGCACCTGGCTTGTGGTTTCCAAGCGGTGCACACGTGGGACCTTCAAGTGAGTGGTTGCGACAAGCATTCCGTGGCGGTGTTATCAAGTCCTGCGGGGAACTGCGTCGTAGTGCTGTCGAAAACACAATTACACTTTTGGACGGGCACCAGCGATGAGATTTATATCGGTTCGGTGCGAATAGACGGTGCCACTGCTGAGGATGACCCGGCCACTCACTTCTTGTGGCATCCAAGGGGAGACTATCTGGTGGTTGCAACACTACAGCGGCGCATGCTTTTTTTCAAAGTCTCTCTTGACTTGAAGAGTATGGAGTTACTGGCGCCGCTGTGTCACAACCATCTACTCCGCCTTTGTTCTTTGGCCTCTCGTGTGCGGTTTTTAAAGGAGGAGCATTTAGAATTTGGTATTGTGACGTCTCTCACTACAGGCGGACCAAACTGTTTTTTGGCCTGCACAACAGCTGGTGTGATTTGTGTGATTGGTTGGTTTCAGCAGAAAATTTTGCATACATGGAGCTGCCATTCACTGAGTAAAGGGCCCCATTGCTTTGCCTCCCCAGAGGAGGTGGGGGAAGAGCATACAGGCACGGATGTGCGTGTAGCGCGCGGTGATATTTTTACTGGATCCATTTTGGACGTGCACCATGCTCTCCAACTAAAATTGACGGTGTTGTTGTTAGCGAATGGATACGTGCTTTTGGCTCAAAGTAATGTGGGAAGTGATTTCACAAGGGATGACATTGTATTTTCAGGCAAGTGTGCTTCTGCCCCAGGTGTGGCTCGTATCTCGATAAATTCAAGGCACATGCTATTGGCGATGGCCACACAGGCAGGCGATGCTGTTTGTAAATGGATTAGTGCAGATCTCTCACTTAAACCCTTCTGGAATGGATTGAAGTGTCTAAGCGGCGCGAAGCGGCTTGGCCCTATCGAAGGCCTGCAATGGAGCCCCAACGAGGAGTTGCTATGTGTTGGTTTCTACCACCTTGGCGTGGTTGTTGTTCATTATAGTGGGGTGTGCGTGTATTCCTCATTGTCGTTTCATCACCCGCAGCGCCGCGAGGTTGGGGGATGCATTTCCTTTTCGTGGAGTTATTATGGATATCGTCTATGTGTCATTGAGCCACTTAGTAGCGGGTTTACGGAGTACAGTTTCAATCAAATTATTTCAAGCCCTACTGTGGACAGCAAAAGCAGTTTTACCCCATTGGTTGCGTTTGACAATGAGGTGCTGCGCCTAGCGGGCCATTTTGCCGCAGATGGAGGACTTGCCTTGCACGAGGTGGTCAGCGCTCGTTCGCGATACGTAATTGAGAATTACCCCTTGACACACGGTGCTGTAAGTCCTGACGGTAGTTCTCTGGTCCTTGCGGGTAGGAATGGCTTTGTATTGTTTGACCGTTTTTCACACCGATGGCGTTCCCTGCGTGACAAGAATCAGGAAAAGGAGTTTGCCTGTGTGGCACAACCCCTCTGGCTTAGCAACCTTGCTGTTGTACTACCAGTGCGGATAACTCACAATCGTACCTTTGAGTTGCGTGTGTACGCCCACAGGTATCTAGACGCAAGTGCCTTGCTGGGCCGGGTGCCCTTAGAGAGGATGCCGTTACACGTGTGTGAATGCCACGATGAATACACTGATATTTTTATACTTGTGGCGGATTCTTCTAATGCGCTTCTCCTTTGGCGCTGTGTGATTGCATTTGAAGGGCAGCCCTCCGCAGTAGATGTCAAAATATCTTTGGAGTTTATAACCCGCACACAGTTACCAGATACTTTTTTGTACCCCGTGGGAATGGCATGTATTCATCCGGCACGGCTGCGACCTTATAAATTTTCTTCTCATTTTCTTTCAAGTCAACAAAAGGGATACGAGAAAGCCTTGCCCCAGGCTTTGTTTATTCTGCGAGGTTCTCACGCCTTGGTCTCTTTTGATATTGGTATTGCTGTGGCGAATGCCTCCGAAATGCCACCTCCAATCAACGTTCTTCGCTCAGATGGTGTTTGTCGCATTTGGATTGATTATTCTGTGCCGATGGATGGTAGTGTAATTATCGTTTTTGACATTTATGGTATTACTCTTCTTCATTTAATTGGTATAGAAGATGGTAAAGACGCTTTCCTGCGGGCACACAAATACGGTGTGTCGGAATTTGATACCGAAACTCTTCCAGTGGGAGTTTCGACGCATGATGGTTGCCTACTCACTGCTGGCTCGACGAATGAGATTGTGAGCGCTATTGGTGGGGCGCCGCCTACGGTTTCTTTGCGGATGTCCCTCAAGCCTCGTTTGTACAACTATCGTGTATTAGCAGCCTTGACTTGCCCGGACTTGCTGGGTTTGTGTACACCGAACGAGGAGCCGACGGCTTCTAGTGTTAGTTCTTTTGTTCCCCTGGTGTGGAGCGATCGTTTATTCTACTGGCTGGAAGGTATGAGAAGAAACGGTACTTTTGTACCCAACGCGGACCACTACTTGCACACGCTTATTACTGGGTCTCTTCCCTATAGTCTTGATCAAAATTATCGACGGGCCGCCGTTCAGGCGACTGTATCTCTTCTTCGACGCTACTCAGAGTTTTACAGTGTGGTGGTGAGCTGCCTTCGGAAGTTAGATGTTCCTCAGTGGAGGGTCCTCCTTGATGTTTTGGGGTCCCCGGTTGTTTTTTTTAGGGAATGCATTGAAAACCACCGATTTGAGGAAGCAGCGCAGCTGTTGCGTGTTATAATGTTGGATGGAAGCGTCTCTGACGGGGACGCATCAGTAGAGTCACTGGAGGCTGCGATGTTGTCTGCGGTGGAGTTATTTACGTTTGCCTTGTGGCAGCGCAAGATTGATCTGCTTCAAGACTTACTGCGCTTTACGGCGTTGTTGCAAGCGGAGATTGCAATGCCCGCCGTAAGAGGCGATGACCGAGCCAATGGTTCTGGGGTTTGGACACGTCTTTTAAGTGTCGTTGGCTTCCAGAAGGATTTGCCTTGTGGTTTTGCTTCGGAGAGGGAACCACTTCGGCTGCTTGCGCTGGAAGAGGTCTCCTGTGGGCCAGCCAGCTCCGGCACGCTGCAACGACGGTCCGCCATTGAATATCTGTTTTGCAACCACCCTACTGTGCGACAGGCCATATACGATGTAGCCTCACAAGCTTTACTTGCAGGCCATTTGATGTTGCTCCGTGACATGTTACATGAACTATTTGTGTCTTTGCCGCACTTTGTCGCCTGCAGGACGTGCACAATAACGGAGGAGCTGCCTAGCAAATGTCTTAACGACACGTTCACGATGAATTGTGGGTTGGAGGGAACTTTTAATATCATGCGGCTTGTAGATCTTTTTGATGGTATTCACAATGAGCTTGGCCTGCCTCGTAGTGCTCGTTGTATTGGAACGGAATTGCAGGATTCTGTGATGTCTTTTCTGCAGACGCAAGGAGTCGAGTCCAACATGGTGATGTGGACTACCGCACAGAGTTATCTGTACACCACACCTGGCATGGTGGAGACGCTACATGGGCTTCGTGAGCTGTACACTGTTTGGGAAGAATGCGTCTTGGCTGTGAACGTTATTTTAATGAGCGAGAGCATGGTCATACGGCAAGTCCATGCCACTCCCGAGTTTGCTCAGGCGCTGCAGCATCTCATAGCCCAACCACAGAATGTAGGCTACGCAGCCTTTGTACAAGGGTGTATCGATGGCTACAACACAACGGCCATGTCATCAGTAACGGTACCATCTATAGGGTGAAATGGGGTGCACGTGCATGGGGCTTATTGGCCGAAGAGTATCTCTTGTTTCTCACTCCTCTTCACTGCTTCTTTATTTTCCTTTTTTTTTAAAAAAAAATCTCACTTTCTGGATGTGTGCTTTAACAGCGAGAGATAAAAAAAAAATGAAAGCATATTTCAGGGTAAAGAAGAAGTGACGTATGTGCAGGAAGGCGAATGGGGTTCCCTGTGGAGCTTCTCCAACGAAGGTCCATTGCCTTCATTTGCTGGACTTTTGCGAGAGTGTAAGGGTACTTTGGCTTATGAGAGAATAATGGTGCGTGCCGTTTATTTATACTTTTCCGTTTACTTTATGCGAGGTTTACTGAGGACAGTGCAAGGTAAAAGCTTTGTTGTTCACTCTGGACATCAACTCCATTTGTGTTCTCTTCAGTCCTTTTTTTTGTTTTGTTTTTTTTGATGTCCCACTTTGTGTTTTTCTTGCGGTCCCACTCTCTCTATCTCTCTCTCTTTCTCTCCTTTTCCCGCCGCAAACAAGTTTTTTTTTTCCCTCTTTTTCTTTCGGGTGTTCTTCTATTTGTTTACTCCTTTTTGTTTTTCTTTTCATGGTGTCCATGCGTTGGAGGCGGAGGAGGTCAGTGCTGCTTCCTCTTGCTCTACTGTATGTTTTGGCCAGTGCCATATGTGGTGGTTTCTACACCCTCATAGCTCTTCATCCTGGGAGTCGAGAAGGTAATCTGGGGGCGCTGCATCTTTATGCCACGGATGCTTTTCCAGAAAACGCAGCACCACCAGAGGACACTAGCAGCTGGACGCGGATCTCGTTCATGGGAGGAATTAAGGCTGACGCATTTTATCGCCTTCGTTCGGTGCCGGATGGCCGCTGGCTTGGTCACTCATCTGATGGCATCTACAGTGGTGTTTTAAACAAAACTTTGGGTCTTGTTTCCGGTTTGGTGAGGGGAACATACGCCGTCCAGGCATGGAGCTCCTTGTTTCTCTCTGTGCACCTCGATGGGAGTGTTGGAATGGACCGTTCAAAGGCGAGGAGTGCGGAGTTGTGGAGTTTTAAATTTGTGCCGGGAGCGGCCACAGTTGCCCTTTGGTCAGTTTCTAGAAGGCGTTTTGTACGCATCGCTGGTGACCGCCTGATGTGTGACGCAAAGAAACTAGAAGGCGCAACCCATTGGATATTGTACGCTGAGCCCAACAAGGCATGTCACTCTCCCACTCCAGACGCAGATTGGAGTACAGTGGCACGCGCCTGCTGGAAATTTGAGTCACTCGCTCCTAGGATAAGCATGGATCCAAAAACTGTCTTGTTTGGAACCCTAAAACCTTTGAAATCACTTGAGCCAAATAAAAGTGATATGCACGACCCATTTCTCATTGCTAACCGCACGCTTTTTAACTGGGCGTTACTCAAAGGTATCCAGCCCGTGGTGTTCACTGACAATGCTTTGGATCACGCCCTTATTGAACAGATCAATCAGGATCTCGCAGTGATGGCTATAGGGCGACGTATTGATGTTATAAAAAACTTTGAGATTCATGGAAAGTTTGGCTTGCCCACGTATCGGGGTCTTTTCTTGCGTGTGCTTACAGCGTATCCTAACGCCCAAATTGTTATGTACTCTAATATGGACATTCTTTATGCGCGTTCTGTACTGGAAACCATGGAAGCGGTACGATACTATTTCTGTGCCAGAGAGGAAAGAAAAGGAACTTTCAAGGGTTGGTTTGCTGTAGGGCGCCGTACGAATTTTGACATATCGTTGAATTGGTCATTAGGCACAAATTGGGAGAAAGATGTTGAGGTATCGTTTGGGACGCCCGGAGTTTTATTTCAGTCCCTTTCGGAGGACTACTTTGCAATGAGCCGTAGCATGTTTGACTGGAAAAATATACCTGATTTTGTTGTGGGTGGAACAGGGTTTGACAATTGGCTGACGACTCAGGCGGTTGCGCGTGCTCGCGCGGGGCGGGCACTGGCAGTTGAGGCGACTCTAACCCTCACGGCGATCCACCAGAATCATGGAGAAGACTTAAAAGCAAGCCACAGGCATCCCAAATCACGCTATAATAATGCCCTGGCTCAACGAGCAGGTGGTTGGGCGCTGGGCCATACAACCGATGCCCCTTTGCTGACGGTACGCCATTTTGGTGGTGAAGTTTTGGTGCTTAACAAGAGTGCCGTCCTGCTCCTTTGATGGGAAGTACTTGTGGATCCGCAGTTCGTGCTGAAAGGCGGCTGTGGCGAGGACAACGAGTTTGCTTTTTCTTTTGTCTTTTGTTTAGGTTTCCGCATGGAGCAGTCTACTTTCGCATTTACTACATGCATTTCAAGTGTGTCTTTGGTTGATGTCTTCAATTGTCTCTTGTTGTATTTGTGTTTGATTGCTTTGTTGCTGTTGGTTGCTGCATGCTTCTGCCGTGCAGCTTCCCATGCTTGACCGTTTGGGTTTTATTGCCCCCCCTCACTTTTTTTTTTTGTGTTGTTAGTGGCAGCGACTTTTGGACGCAGCCAAATGGGTGTGGAGATTTTGGAGATTGACGGATCCACACCTCACCCCGGCGTTGTGATTGACGGTTCAATGGCGTGCAGAGAGACAAATGGCGGTTGGGTGACGCTGCGTTCCAAATCCCCGCTTTGTGGAAACGAGCGGCAGTGGGCCATGAAAGTTATTGATCAGGGCGAGGGCACCGACGGTTCTGGGCTTATGATGGGCTTGCTTCCTAACCTTAGTTCGCAGCAGGAGGCTTCCATGAGTAACAAGTACATATCTGAGCTCGGTGGCTGGTGCCTTTCGCGAGCAGGGGATTCTTACGGCTCTTGGAAATGCGATAAGATGCCTTTTTCCACAGGCTGCGTCGTGGAATTTGATTGGGACGCCGTGACTCGAACTCTCTACATGGTAAGTGGTAAGAGAAAGGCCATTGGTCATATACCGAACGTCTCTGAGACAGATGTCCTTTACCCTGCTTTTTCAATGTATTACTTGAACCAAAAATTGTCATTTGTTTGAGATGGTGATGATATTGTACCCAACGCGTGGTCCTTACAGTCTATATAAATAGTTCCGGAAGGATGGTGAACACCGACAACACCCCACAACAACAACATGCACGCGAGGGTGGAAGGGTTCATATGGCTCTCTCTTTGTGTGTGTGTGTATGTATGCGTGATTTGAGTGATGATGGAGTGGGAGAGGGGGGCTGCTGCTGTTGCTGTTGGTTCTGAAGGAGGAGGAGGTTGAGTGCTATTGAAGTGAAAACAGCGCGAAAGAAAACACCCACGCGCAATGGCGGGGAGTTTGTGGGAATTTTTATTTTGTGCATGTGCGAAAAAGAACAAAGGACGATAAGAAAAAAAGCTGGGTTTGTGACACTTCGCACGAATGCGTGCATGCGTATTCAGTTATTTATTTATTTATTTATTTTTTTGCTTTCTGTTTTGTCACATTGAAAGGTTGACTTTAATGCTGCATCCATCGATGGGCCTGGGACCTCCGTTCTCTTCTTCATGCGTTGTTGTTTTTCCGGTCCTCTTAGATTGTAGCTAAAATGCTCTTTAGAGTTTCCGGAAATCAGAACACAGATGACCAGAAACAGAACGAGGTTGAGGAATGTAGTGATATCTCTCCTTTCAGAAATCACAGAATGTGCCGTGTCCGCACAGTATTTCTCATCGCAGGTACAATGTGCTTTGGCGTGTTACTTGTGGGGATTGTTGGTTTTGTTCCCATGTATTTCGTCACTTTTACAGAAGCTATGGATGCAACTCACCGGGTTCACGCGCATGCCGTCGATATGCTCTTAGCCACAACCAACATCTCGACCATGTATTTACCGACCCTCATCCACGCCATCTCGGCTAATTATGCTCTCACGACGAACAGTAGCAGTGATTTCTTCCCTAAAAGTAAGGAAAAACTTTTATTTGCCATGTCAAATGTCATTTCGAAGAAGCTATGCCGTGAAATTGTTGGCCACCTTATGGTAGTAGTAGCGGGTCCGCCTGAAGAGGAATGGGGAGTTCTGGCAACTTCAGTGTTTGATGGCGACCAGATCGGAGGTTCCGTAATGCATGGGATGTCAACCTCACCGATCTACCGGATTAACCCGGAGATAGGCGGCTTTGTTTTTCCTCCCCGCAACCTGACATTGCGCAAATCAAATTTGAAATCCATTTTGACCAACGATAATGGTTCTTACAAGGCCATTGCTGTACCATGGAATGCAAGTACATCGCAGGGTGTAATGTGTAATACGCGTTGGTTCACAAGCGGTGTTAGTTACTCACCCATGTATTTTAAGTATGTTCTTCCATTTGTTGTGAACAATAGCCTTGGGTTTTGGGAAGTTGCCTTAAAGCCGTCAGTGCTTGCTCATTGGGAGAGACTCTCATTGTCCAGAGCGTTGCGCAACAATGGGCGTTTGATGCTTCTTGATTCTAAAATGGATCTTGTTGTGCTAAACAACTGGGGGCAGCAATGGAAGATCAAGACCGTCGACGGAGGTCAGTTTGAGGTGCATCCCCTCCATACTCATAACATCTCAGACTCACTTGCGCAGGCAGCGATAGGGAAAGTGCACCGGGGCGGTGGCTTTGCGAGGTTTATGAAAGAAACGGATCGGAGTGAACTGTCGTTTCAATACAAGGGTGATAAAGCCTATGCGCTAATCATGCGACTGACCGATGACACCAGTTCAGATATATTGTTGGTTATTGTTACCCTTCAAGCTGATTTTTTTTGGGCACTTGACCGGTCAAGCACCTACGTGGCTCTTGCGACAGGGCTTTCAGTCATGATGGTTGCAATTTTTGCCGTGTCAATCGCCTGTTTTTTGGTAAAACCTATGCGAAGACTCGCTCCGGAGTTGAAACGGGCAGCAAACCTGCAATTACGTGGGCAAGACGACAATAGCGGCGTCTGGAAAAGGTCCAGAATTGCCGAAATTCGGGACGTTCAAGACGCCTACGCTGAACTGACGCGTCAGCTCACTATTGTCAAGACATTTGTCCCTGGTGCCATCCTCGCTTCCCCAGCCACCAGCTGCTGCAGCAGCAACAGCAATGCCCGCAAAGAAAATTCCTTTTCTAGGAAAAAGCGGGGATTTCAATCACACTCGTCTTCTCAACTGCGGGAATCCCCAATAAATAGTCGAGCTGAGATGGTGGGGATGGAACACAATTGTTTTTCCAAGGTGCGACAAGAGATGTGTTTTAATAGTCGTGTTTTCAAGGAACGGACTAATACGTTTGTTCGACAGTACTGCACCATGGTACTCATTGAAAATGCCCAGCCCAGATCTCTTGACACCTATTTTGATAACATCTTCACATGCGCCACAGAACAAAATGGGTGTCCGGAGTACTCGCGCCCGGACAGGACACTCGTGAGTTTTGGCGCTCACTCACCACTCCCTATGCACGCCATAAAAGGGTGCCGTTTTGCGTTTGAGCTTTTTTCCAAACTCTCGTCAGAGGAGAAGCAGACGATTACTCTTTTTATTGCAACAGAGGAATTTCATGTGGGGACTTGTGGCGCACAATCTAAAAATGCCCGTAGTGTGGTTGGTATCATGAATCTGCGTGAATTGGCAAAAGCGGCGAATCGACTGGGGTGCCGCATTGCGGCGACATCTGGGACGGCGTCGCAACTGCAGGCACATCAAGCGTACCCTATTGAGTGTATTCTGCCATCGTCTTCGTCAGAGGCAGTGGTGCTCTTCGAGCTTCGACCCGAAACGGCAGGGTGGCAGACGATGAGCACACCGATGCACTTCCGTCTTGGGTTTGCGGCGATGCGTCAGGGAAATTACAAGCAGGCCATGTCGCACTTTCAACGAATAGAAAAGTCGGATCGCCAGACAAAGCGTCTTATTCGTTTATGTGCACAACGCTGTGCCATAAACGACAACACAAGTTACGTGCGATCGGCAAGCGACATTTTACAGGAAAGGCTGCCAAACGTGAGTGTTGCTGCAGCACGTGAGTTTGGACCTACAGCCACATATTTCACTGAAACTACCTTTTGCAAGATAGTATCAAATCCCAAAACTATTCCTTCCGTTTCCTCCAGAGCTTCATCTCATAGCAAATGCCTTGAAAGTGAGAGTGGGGCCTTGTTTGAGTTGTTGAAGGTTTGCAGTTCGTCATCATCAGCAGCAGCGACGTCGTTACAGGCATGTGAGGAAGTCGGCAACACCGCCGACGATCTCCCACTGTTACTAACAGATATGAACAAGCGAGTATGGACCAGGTCACTAAAAAAAATTAGTGAGGGGGCATTTAGTTCTGTGTACCTTGGGATGTCGGAGGATGGCGTGCAAGTGGCTATCAAATGTATTCCGCGGCTGCGTCGAGACATTAAGCAGGAATCGCTAGAGGCGGAAATGAACATTGCCTCCACGCTTCGTCACCCGAACATTGTTCAATACGTGTCCTGCAGCGTGATTCAGTCTCATCTTGCCATTATTATGGAGTACGTGCCTGGTGGCTCGTTGCATGCCGTGATCAAGAACTTTGGGCGCATGGGTCCGTTAGTTGCACGTCGATTTACGGTGGATATCTTGAATGGTCTTAACTATTTGCATGGGCTTGGTATTGTGCATTGCGAC